CTCTCTCTCTCTCTCTCTCTCTCTCTCTCTCTCTCTCTCTCTCTGGGGGGGCACATACATGTCACAGCATACATGCGGAGGCAGGGCACCACCTCAGGTGTCAGTCCTTACCCTCTACCTTGTTTTAGGCAGGATCTCTTGTTGGTCATTTCATACCCCAGGCTAGCTGGCTTGCAAATTTCTAGGGCCGCTCCTGGCTCTGCCTCCCATCTTGCTGTAAGGGTGCTGGGATTACAGACGTGTTCCAGCTTCATGTGTGTCCTGGGGATGCATGCTCATGTCTTCACACTTGTAGGGAAATGCTTTACCCACTGAGCTGTTTCCCTAACCCACTACTCTTCAGACTAAACTCCCTAGGACTCCCCTCCACCCAGAATGGTTGTGAGGTTACAGGAAGGTAAAGAAACAGGCTTCCTCTCTGTGCTATGCCCCAGGTGAGGGTCTCATCCACCCACCTGTTTGACTGATATGTACAAATGCCTTCAGTGTACCATTAGTCTATCTTGTCAAAGGTCCAAGACCTGGGATAGTGCTTGCCCTGTTACAGTAGGCCCCCAGTATCCATTTGCTGAGTGGCCGGATTCTCTACCAGCAGCAGCTTGAGTTTCCAATGTCCAGAAGCCATGGCGTCTAGAAGCTCACAGCACTGTTAGCAGGCATCCAGGAGCATACTGGAGAGGATTAATAATACCAAGCCTTTATTGAGCACTTACTGTATATCTATACCGTGACACCCAACACTTAGTGTTAACTCTTTTGATGGTTGTGGCAGCTTCCAGGAAGGTGCTGTGATTAGGGTGGGGTCAGGTATGCTCCGAGGCTGACCTAGACCACACAGACCCGGGTTAAGCCTTCACCAGAACTGACATAGTGTCCGTCTAGACCCTCTTCTTTCAGTCACTCTGTCATGTTGCTTCCCCCATAGTCTTCCCAGCTAAGGCAAATCGTTTGTTCACATTGTGAGACAGCAGCCCAGGCTTGCCCTGGAGGTCCTGATCTAGAGATGCCTAGATAACAAAGGGTCTTCAGAGGTCACCAGATCCCAGTGTGCAGCCAGGATTGAGAACCACCAGTCTAAACCAACCCATGCCTAAGAGCATCACCCTGGCTTGCCAGCTGGTAAACAACTGTGCCCTGAGAAGACAGGCTAAGTTGAGGCTGTGCCTGACTGTGCCATGAAGTCACTACAAAGACTCATTCCGGGTTGGCAGGTATGCTGAGAGGGAGCTTTGAAGAGTGAACCGTCAAAGGGAGGAAGTGCTGGGTATGATTTGGGGCCCTGTTTCCCTACTCTGTGCCTCAGGCTAGTTTGTTTCAGAAGATTTCAGTCAAACAGTCTTAGGGTCCCTTCTTCAACAAGAGCTCAGCCAAATGAGAAGTCGAACATGTTACACAAGACAGCTTCAAAGTGCGGTTCAGTAGTAGCTGCAAACGGGAGACTGAGATCCCCAGGCCCAGGGGCTCACCAGGAACAGGCCTCACCAAGACGAGCTTCGGGGAGACAATTCAACCAGATTTGGAAAGCTGACTGCAGTGTGGCTGGAGAGGGACAGACCTGCAGTATGAGAGGGAAGAACGAGATGTACATGGACGCTGGGAAGGAATGGAATGGCTAGGTGTGGCTGAGGGAACAGGAGCAGGGTGGGACATGAAGTCTTCCAGAGCAGACTGCTGGAGAGGGATAATCAGGGAGCAGGGAGATGTGGGAGAGGGATATAACTGTAGCAAAAGCCTGCAGCAGTCGGCAAACCTGGGCTTGCTGTGATCTGCTTCCCAGTCCACTCTAGCCCTGGCGAGCACTGAATGGGAGGCAAAGGGAAGAGGAACTAACTGATCGCTCAGGGAGCCTGAGGTACCAGGACCAAGGCACCGGCAGATTTAGACAGGCACCTCTGAGACAGCTGCAGAAACCGACTTCTGTGCTGTTCTGGACCCAGGGGTATTCCTTGTTCAACTCCGAGGGCTCTGCTGTGCCTCCGAACTTTCTGTGATGTTGGCGTGCTTCATGCTGTGCTGTCCACTGGGATCATTGGGCCTACGGCTACTGCAACTGAGGAGCTGACTTAAGTAAAATGAAAATAGCCACGTGTGACTTGTGGCTTCTACCACAGTGGACAGCACAGTCCCAGATCCCCTGCTGTAGGTCCCTAGACTTCGTACTTCTCGGGCTTCTGGCACTGGGAGCCTATTGTCTTCCAGTCACTTAAATAGGCCATCTACACAAGTTAATCTCATCAGATGCTCACAGCCTCTCCTGAGGAGGCTTCTTCGTCCTCATCTTTGGGGGATCTAAAGACCAGAAGCAAGAAAGAAGCCATGATAGTGGGGTACACCTGTAATCCCAGCACTAGGGAGGCTGAAGCAGGAGGATTGTGAATTTGAGGCCAGACTGTGCTATGTAGTGAAACCCTGTCTTTGGCCTTCCTGGAGAATGGCACGGCTGCATTTTAATCTGGGACAGTTTCTATTGGTGATGGCCTGGGCAGCACATGTCTCACCTCTGTATTCTCCACACAGCCTCTTGCCATCTACAAGGTCCCTTGTACCCTTGCTTACGAGCTTGTCTTCCATGACCCCTCTCCTCTATTCTTTCACTTTGGGATGGCATCCTGGGTGGATGGCAGGCCGGTGACCACTGAGCCTGAGTGGGGTGCACAGTAAGCAAAGACAGGCTTCCAGCATTCAGAGTTGCGGGGCATGGTGGGTAGCTGCAGGGAAGAAGAGCTGAGCAGGTAGAGAGCCGACCTAAACAAAGCCAGATCTGAGGTGGGGTGTCTGAGTGAGGCTCTTCCAGTTTGAACTCTCAGCCCTGGATGCTCTAAGCCTGCCCCCAGGTGCTTCTGGGAGTACTAGAACACAGGACGAATAGTTGTTTCAAGATAGGGCTTCTGAGTATTTGGAGAGATTACTAGTGTACTCATGCATGTGGTCAAAAACTACAACAGCCTTACTGATCTGGATTCACCAGATCTACAATAAGGCTTGAAAATCTGTATGATAACAAGCCCACTTTGCAGCCCATATGTCACACCTGGAAGTCAGATGCTCTTGCTTCCAAATCCCAGTTCTACACTTGGCGAGCTTCTAGGTTTTTTTCTTTAGTTTTTCTAGTTCATAGATCCTCCCTCAACAAGGTTCCCAACCTGGGCTGTACATTAGAATCCCCTGGAAGCTTTAGAAAACTACTGAGCCCAAGGCCCCAGCCCAGACTAGTTGACTGGAACCTTTGGAACCTTGGGCATTTCTAGGGGAGTTAGCTTTGCTGTGCAGCCAGGGTCAAGGACCCCCTCAACTCCCTTTTTGCCTCCTGGCACTTTATCCTTCTGGCTGGGCTGAATCACCTTTGTGTCCCCAAGTGTAATGGAGCCCACAGACCCCATTTCAGTCTCCTCTACCACACTTCAGCTTTATCGCAGAAGCTGCCCAGAGACTTCCCTAGGTCCTTTTTTTTTTTTTTTTTAGACAGGGTCTCCCTGTAGCCCCAGCTGTCCTGGAACTCACTATGTAGACCAGGCTAGCTTCGAACTCACAGAGATCCATCTACCTCTGCCTCCCGAGTGCTGGGATTAAAGGTGTGCGCCACCATGCCGGCTCCTAGGTCCTTTCTTAACCACCCTCACTTCCACCACTCTGCTGCAGCACCTTCCTTTAGTGTAGCTCCATATGTCACACCTATTAAAATGCTTAGAGTTGGCGAAAAGGAAGTGGGGGGGTGGACAGGCCCAGGTCACTGGGAGAGCTGCACTCACCAAGCTTCAGATTGCCAGTGCCAACACCTGCCAGCTCCTGGTCCTCTTTGCTGGCAGCACGGGCCAAGGAAAATCTTTCCAGATGGAATTTTGTTCCTCCAAAGCTTCTTGATGCCATGGTGGATGGGTGGGAACAGGCATGATCTTTTGTCTGGTTTTTTGAGACAAGGTCTCACTATGTAGTCTGGAACTTCTAATCCTTCTGCCTTAGTCTCCTGAGTGCCGGATTACAGATGTGCATTACTGTGCCTGGTAAAACAGGTCTGTTCTACACTGGACGGTGAGGTAGATGAGGATCCCACAGATACCCAATCTCCCTTTCTTCCTTAATTACAACTGACAAGCCCAGCATGGTTGTGCACACACCTGTAATCCCAGCATTTGAGAGGTGGAGGCAGGAGAATCAGGAATTCAAGGCTACCCTCAGCTACATAGTGAGTTCTAGGTCACACTTGGCTACATGAGACCCTCTCTGAAAAAAGAATTACCAGTGACCACTGGATGTTGCCACCTTCTCAGAGGCCAATGACCTCGAGCCTGTCTCTTTCCATCCCTATAAGCCTGCTGCTAAGAAAGGTTAACTGATTTACACTAGGCCAATGTTTTCTAATCATATTAAGTGTGCTATCCAGTCTAAGAGGTTTTTGTTTTTAGTCAAAGAAGTATTTCAGGGGCAGTTGAGCTGTCACTGGGGCTTCGGTTTTTCTGAGGCAGTGGTGGTGGAGGAGGAATTCTTTCTGAATTCCTGAAGTGACAGTCTGCATTTCTGAAATCAGAGGAATGTGGGAGAACACTTTGGGGGTACACTGGCTCTGTCTTGTAGAGGATACTTTGCCCCCGGAAAACACACCTTCAAAACGTGCTTTGGAGGCACCAATCAAGGGTCTCACGTATCCCCCTCTGTCCCTGCCAGATGTAGATGAGTGTGTGGAGGGGACTGACCACTGCCACATCGATGCCATCTGCCAGAATACCCCACGGTCATACAAGTGCATCTGCAAGTCGGGGTACACGGGGGATGGCAAACACTGCAAAGGTAAGGCTGGGGAGAAGGCTCCAGAGAGGAGCCTTTGGGAGAGTGGAAGCCAGTGTTGCTGCCTCAGCAGGTCACACCAAAGTTCCCGCAGGCCTTCTGCCCCTGCTTGGCAAGGAGGCACACGGTACCTTCCCAGAGAGGGTACTGTGCTCAGATGTGTGCAAACACATCACGCAGACCAACTGAGGCACAGGTTGGAACGTTCACAGCCTCACAGCCATGTAGCTGTCTGGGGTGGGCACCTCAGCATCAGGGAATTAAGCCCCAAGGGTCCCTGGAATTAGCGCCTCTACCTGGACCCTTCATGACAGGCTCAAAGAATGGGAACAATGTACCCCAGGGGAAACTCCCCCCCAAACAAGCATATGCTCCCCCTATAGTTAAAACAGTACAAAGTTGAGCAGCCTAGGGATACTGTTTTAAATGTACAGCCTTGAGTATTGGTGAGATCAGTGGACAGGGTACACTGGCTGCTTCCTGCTGGCATTATAAATTGAAAACCACAATTGTCCCTCAGGATCTGAGAGGAATTCATCCTAGGACACCACCTCATCACTACCAGCAACACCAAAATTTGAAAACAATCAAGTCCTCTATATAAAATGGCACAATTAAGAATGTAAAGATAAAATGGCATAGCTATTTGCACACAACCTTCAAACACCTCCACTTTTTCTCTTTGCCTGAAGACGTAGATGAGTGTGAGCGCGAGGACAATGCGGGCTGTGTACATGACTGTGTCAACATCCCTGGTAATTACCGATGCACCTGCTATGATGGATTCCACCTGGCACATGATGGCCACAACTGTCTGGGTGAGCAAGGGAGGGCTGGAAGGGCACTGGGTATGAGAAGAGGTGTTTTCAGCATTCCTTGGGCACAGAGAAAGTGATCAAAAAGGGCTGATTCCTCCAAGGGAGCCAAGGGCAGCCTCCCCTTCGGAGCTGACCAGTGAGGACAGAACAGTCCTGTTCCTGGCTAAAGAGCAAAGGAGACACTGGTAGAAAGTGTTCCCAGGCAAGGGCTGGGGGACAAGAATGGTGGGTTTAGCTCCACACACAAAGCACTGAGGGAAGATGGCTTAGCTTCAGATGGGTCCTGAATCTGCCACTCCTCAGGCAGGTAAACCAGGCCCTGGGAATCTGATTCCTCGTCTCTAAAGTGGGGGTCCAGAAGGTCATCATGAGAAGAACATGTAAAGATTCCTGTGCAATCTTTAGCATGGAGCAAGTGCTTCAAGGGAGAAGGTGGTGGTGGCGGCAGCTGCTACTGCTCTGGGTCCTGGAAGCCTCTGCCCCTTGTTGGCTGGTTTTGTCCCAGCCCTTCCTGTCTTTTCTAGTCTCACCTTCTTCCTTTCTGGGCCTGGGTCTGACCTGATATTCCTTGTCCGAGGTGCTAGATTGCAGATGGAATCTTTAGGCAACTGAATTCAACTTCAGTCTGTGTCATTTTAGAAACTTCCTAGGACCAAGTTAGTTTTTGCTTTTTTTTTTTTATTTTTAAACATTTTATTTATTTTTATTTTATGTGTATGTGCATATTGTCTGAATGTGTATAAGTGCACCTGTGTCATGCAATGCCTGCAGAGGACAGAAGAGGCTGTCGGATCCCCTGGAACTGGACTTACGGACAGTTGTTAGCTGCCATGTGGGTGCTGGGATTCGAACCCAGGTCTTCTGCAAGAACAACCAGTGTTCTTAACCACTGAGCCATCTCTCCAGCCCCTGCTTTTTTTTTTTTAATCCCTAAGTAAAAAATCTGAAGCCCACAGAGAGAAGGATTTGAGATTTGAAACCAGGGGTCCTCTCCCAAATGCTTTTAAAAAAAATATTTTAATATTGTACGAGTGTATTGCCTGCACGTAGGCAGGTGCACCCATGTCATGCAATGCCTGTGGAGGTCAGAAGAGGGCAGTGGAGCCCCTGGACTTGGAGTTACAGAAGGTTGTTAGCTGCCATGTGGGTGCTGGGAACTGAACCTGGGTCCTCTGCAAGAACAGCCAGTGTTTTAACTGCTGAGCCAGCTCTCCAGTTCCCAAATGCTTTCTCTGTCATGCCAAAAAGGAAATGGTACTGGCAGCGAGGGGAAACAGGAAAGGAAGTGAAGGGCAATGAGGGCCAGAAAGTAGGCTGGGCTGGTCCCTACCTGGTCTGGCCAAACGGATGACTTGTACAAGGTTCCACTGGCCTAGGAACCTCCTTACAGAGCTGTGACCATCACAGGCACCCCTGGGTCCCAGATCCCGAGCAGGCCCTTTCCCCATGGCTGCCTCTCCTACCCAGTCTCCCACGAGACTCTTCTAGAACAAGACGCTGTGGCCCTGGGGAAAGGGTGAGCTCACAGGACTGTGATCAGCTTGAGTTCTTTGGCTTTCCTTGGGTCTTTCTAAGCCTTTGACTCTCACCAAGTCTTACTCCCCAGTAACATGTTTTGAGGAGACCCAACCAGAGGGACAGGAGAATGAGTAGGTATGGAGAGGGTCAAGGGAGCAAAGACCTATCTAGGGTTAGGGTTCAAAATCTCAACCCTCCCTTTGACTCTTAGGGAACCCTTGAGAAAACTGTCCATACTGTGGGCCTCAGTTTCCCCATGGAGAAGTGAAAGCTCTTATTGAAAGTAGCATAGTCATTAGGCCAGAGCAGATGGGATGGAATGCAGGTGGGCAAGAGCAGGAAAATGGGTGAGACAAAGTAGGAGATGGCACATAGACGGCAAAGGCACACATCAGCTTTTCCAGCAGGTGCATCCCTCAGGCAAGAGTATGATCTGAGTCCCTTGTCCTGGGCCAGAAGGGACCTTAGCAGAGAGGATGGCAATGGAGCAGCAGAGAAGGCCCTTGGGAGCCTTCTAGCTGCTCTACCTGGTACCCAGGCTACCTGGACCAAAGCAGACTGAGGAGGGCTGTGAATGGGAGGGCAGCTGCCAGCACAGAGATGGAGTCAAGACACTGAAGTGAGTGTCCCAAGATGAGCTTGACTCTGGGGGTGGTGATTTGGGGGCAAAAGCCTACTTTTCCCCTCTACCATCCAGGGTGTGGCCTGGCAGCCCTCCCCACCCTTCTCTGCCACACTGCCAGACTTTGTTTTGTTAAACCAAAATAGGAGAAAAGCTAAGGGCTATGGCAGCAAGCCCAGGCTTGGGGGAGGGGAGAAAGGCCCTGGCTGTGGCCTGTCCATGAAATGGTCCTTGCCCCATGAGGACTTGAGGCTCAGCTGCCTTTCCCCATCCCGCCATTCCCTCCATCTTCAGCACCACAGCTACAGTGCTGAGCATAGCCATTTCCAGCTTCCCTGAGTCCCAGCCACTCATCACGGCCACCAGCCCTGTTCTCTCAACACTGACTGACGTGACCAGTCTCCATCCTTGTCCTCATCATTGCCCTCTTGCTCTGGCTTCCTTCCTGAGCTCTGCTCTCAGAACCAGTTTCTGCAGTGTGGGAGAGGGGTCCAGTCCTCACCTAGGTGGGCCAGGTTTGGATGCCCTCCAACCTCACCCCAGCTCTGCCCTCTAAGGTGACCTCTTCACATTCAGTGGAGCTTTAGCTGACAAGGGGTAAGAACTGCTTGCTGAGGTCAGACTTAGGTAACGATGGGGTTGGGTTCTTGTCTGCCCTCAGCCCTCAGTCCTCAGTGCTGAGGGCCTGGCCTACTGGCCGCGGCCCCACCAATCACCTGTCTTGCACAGATGTGGACGAGTGTGCCGAGGGCAATGGTGGCTGTCAGCAGAGCTGTGTCAACATGATGGGCAGCTATGAGTGTCACTGCCGAGAAGGCTTCTTCCTCAGTGACAACCAACACACCTGTATCCAGCGGCCAGAAGGTCAGTCCATGACCTGGGAGGCACCCAGGCTTTGCTTCCCAACTTCCCTCAATGCCCTACATCTCACCCTCGAGATCCTTCTCTGTTCCTCAAGCTCAATCACAGCCCAAGAGCTCCATGCACCAACAGTGGAGTAGTGAAAAATCTAGGGGCATAAATTTAGGATAAGGTCAATATATTGAGGCTACTTTGGGGTATTCTCTGGTCCAGACCTGAGGTGATGCTGTTCCTTTATGTGGGCATTTGAGTGTCTATAAGCTGCTTCTGTGGGAGGGCCTCACCAGAGCCCCCTTCCATGGCCTGTGTTGGGTAGGTTGTCAGGCAGAAGCATAGGGTGTATGCTGTCTGGTTCTGTGACTTGTTCCCTCAGTGAACTGTGACACCTGAGAGCAGTAACTCTGTCTAATCTTTGTGTCCCCAGCACCTAGCACAACCTGTGGTGGGAGCTTAATACACTCTGTGGCACAGTAATTGTCTGTACTAATTAATTCCCACTCACTTTATAGGTCTGATTGCTATCATCTTCCTGCAGCTTCTAGTCTCAGTGTAAGCCCTCCGAGGAAGGCAATCCTGCCCTGCATTTTTCTGGGTTTTTCCTAAATCCCGAGTATCTATCACAATGGCTGGCAGCTATGAGACTGGGTTGTCTGGAGGACAGGGTGGCCATGCAGGTGTTCTTTGGATTGGCATCAATACTGTCAGCAAGTGCATTCTGCTCTCTGGCATAGCACTGTGGGCAAGCCAGGCCAGGCATGGGGAGGAACAGTCCCCTCTGGGTGGCAGCCTTAGTGGAACCCTCATATCGTCTTTGGCTCTAGCTGTTTCCACCCCATCTAGGCCTCTGGGTGCCAATATATCTCATCCCTCTCCTCTTCCCTTTTAGAAGGAATGAACTGCATGAACAAGAACCATGGCTGCGCCCACATCTGCCGGGAGACCCCCAAGGGGGGCATTGCCTGCGAATGCCGCCCTGGCTTCGAGCTCACCAAGAACCAACGGGATTGTAAATGTGAGACATTTGGGGGTGGGAGAGTCGGGGGACAGAAGGGTGGCCTCAGTAGCCAGAGGGCAGGGCTGGCAGGAAAGAGGACTGGGAGTGTTGGATGGGGTTACAACAAGGAGAGAGGCGGCTTCCCAGCTGTGCAGACCTGTGGCGCCAGGGAGAAGCAGGCTGACAGGCCTCTTCCCTTTCTGCAGTGACCTGCAACTATGGTAACGGCGGCTGCCAGCACACATGTGATGACACAGAGCAGGGTCCCCGGTGCGGCTGCCACATCAAGTTTGTGCTCCATACCGATGGGAAGACATGCATCGGTGGGTGAAGCCGGGGAACAAGTCAGTCCACTTGTGACAGGGTGGGGGTGGGGATTTTGGGAACTGCTGGGGAGGGGAGACCCAGAGTGTCTAGGTGCTGGAACCAGTGACTGATGAGGGAATGAAGACCCAGACCATGCCAGGTCTAGTGAGAGACAGCTCTGGGAGACTAAAAGGCACACTGGACCCTCTGCCCTCCCCAGGAGCCTCACCATCCTCTTCCTCCCAGGATGAGCACTGCCAAACTAGGAAGCATTAATAGAGGTGCTGGTCAACAAAAGGCTGTGGGGGAGAGGGGGGAGCAGAGCCAGGGAGGTCAGCTGATCAGCACATCAAGGTCCCAGTTGACCAGTGAGATGGGAGCTGTCACAGCCCGATACCCCCACTGTGACACTGAGGCCGGAATACAGTGCTCTGTCGGGAACAGCCAGCCCCGAACTGACAAGTGGAGGACTCCAGGCATCTCCTTCTCTTTCCCTTTCTCTGCTAACCCCTCTGCAAGTACTCTTTCTATTCCTTCACCCTGGCACCCCCAGGCCCCATCCTTCTTTCCACATCCAGCAGTGCGCCCCCTCCACTCCACCTGTGGCCTGCCTACTCCTCACCTACTCCATCCTTCCATCCTTTCAATACCTGATTCCTCTTTCCTGGATTCCTAGGCTTGACCTCTTCTTGTCTCCAGGTGCCCTGGACACACTGAATTCCTTAAATTCCAGACTCCTAAGTCTATAGGTCTTCAGCTGACAGGACAAGGTGTCCCCTGAGAGACGTGGAAAGTGAAAGGGAGGGCTTTGGCCGGGGTGAGGCTGGGTCTGGAGCCAGGCTGGGCACACTTTCTCTATGGGCACAGGTGTTTGTGGGGGGGTTGTCCATCTAGTGGGAGAAGTGTGAGCACAGTAACTGTGTGAAGCCCTGTGTGTTCAAGACAAATTCAGCTTGAGACCTGGATGTTCCCTTGCCCCCAGAGACCTGTCCCTTAATTGCAGACACTGCAGGGGAGCAGTGGTGCCATCACGGGGAAGTCCCTCCAGCACCTGCTCCAGACCCCTGAATACATGGCTCCAAAGTGCTCTGTACTTGGAAACTCTCATGCTACGATGCCTCTCAGTTAACTCTTCAAAGACCCTAAAACATGTTCAGGTCTTCATGTTGCCTTCTCTGGCCAGGTGGTTCCAGCTTCTTTCAGATTCTCCTGAGGTCTAATTCTTCTGTTTCCCAAACCTCCCACCACCCCTTGGACACATACATCACAAGTCCCCCAGAAGAAACTGCATGTGTTCCCCAGGGAGAAGATGCATGAATTGGGACAGAGCTTGGGGTCCCCCAGAGAGGACACGAGGCTCTCTTGGCTTTCTGTTCAGATAGCCTCAGACACGGCTACTTTTGAAAACACCCTCATCAAGCTTGAGTTCTTCTTGAACCCAAGACCCACTATACCATCTAAGCTGCAGCAAGTGAGGCAGGAGGACAGATGAGGCTGCGATCTTTTCCTTGAAACTTTCTCTACTCTGAGGGAACTGAACTTACTTGCCTTGTGGCTCATTTTCCTCACCAGCCGTGGCAGGAGGAATTGTCATTGGTGCCACCAGGATGCTCAGGTTGAATGGAGAGACCGGGAAGACAGTGTAGTTGAGCCCAAAGGGATCCAGGAGGTGGCTGCAAGACTTGATGTCGCATGCCAGCTTTGCCTCTGACCATGCTGTGTGGGGCTGGACCCACAGCTGCCCCTCTCTGAGACTTGGTGTCTCAGTTTCACAGTCACTTGGTAGGCGCATGGCTTCCTTGAGGATGATACCAGGCTGAGGAATGAGGCTGCCTGGGGATCCCAGGGCTCCCCATGTGGGGCTAGTGGTTTGGGCCTACAGGGTGGAGGGCATGGGAAGGGCCTGGGGCCCAGTGGGCTGCAGTGGGGCCTGCCCCACATCTAAACAGCTTTTTTACAATGTCAAACAGGGGAAAGGCGGCTAGAGCAGCACATGCCCACTCAGACCGTTTCTAATGGTAAATATGTCTGCTGTCTGCTCGCTCTCACCAGCTTGCTAGGGAAGGGCTAACCCACTGGGGCTCCCACTAACCGCATGCCCAGCAGAGGTCTCCTAGCAGCATGGGCACTGGGCCCATCAGGTGACGGGAAGCCTGAGTCCCTAAGAGCCAGCCTGGGCTCATGCTGGTCTTGTCCTCCTTGTTCTGTTAGTTTTTTCTCCTTCCTCTTCTGCTCCCTCCTCTCACGCTGCCTCCTCTCACCCTGGCCCTTCCCAGTCATCTGCACCCCTCCATCACTGCACCTAAAGACTCAGCCAGTACCATCTTACCCTGCCATGTCCACAGTGCCAGAGATGGCGTGTGATGGGGTTAGATGCCATCCTTTCTGACAGCCGTCTTTCTTGGGTTCTTACCATGTTAGTGCGCTACCCAGCATCAGCACCAGCCTCTGCATAGCGCTGGGTTCAGCAGACCGGAGTTTGGCTGGTTCTGCCACGTTCTCACCAGCCAGCTTCAAGTGAGCTCCCTTCCTCTCTGATCCTCAGCCACTCTTCTGCAAAACAAAGGGAATGACAGTCTTCCGTCAGGTGTCCTGATTATGCAAACAGTGTGTAGCATCTAGTCAGTGCCTGTCAGAGGACACAAGCTGTGCCCTCCTGCCACCCACCTGCTCTGAGGAACGCTGTCCTGCAGAGGTGGGCAGCTCTGTCCAACTTCTGCCCAGCCTGGGATGAGTGTCACACCAGCTGTACTGCCCCATCCTCGGTCCTGCAGAAAAGCCACACAGGATCTTGTTCCCTTTGTGCTATTCAGGGCTTGGTGGCCCACATTCGGTGCTCAGAAAACTCTTAAGGGCAGCTGGGCTTGGGGTCCTTAGGGAAACTGAGGTGAGAACAGTAGAGGTGAGCCCTCTTGGGCTGCTTCTAGACCTGGACGGTAGGACCAGGACATGCCGGGAAAGGAGTCCCAGGCAGAGGTGGGCTCCTTTGCGGGCCCTGGCACGTTGCCTTCATTGGACAGGGAGGGCCTGACTTCCTGACTCTTTTCCTCTCATGCCCAATGGAAGCCTTGGATTCTCTCAATGGGAGTGTGTGAGTATGGGACAGGCCACGTCATTCCTGTCCCCATGTCAGGCTCTACTGGGGCTGATGCTTTTCCCTTGGACTCACTCTCCCAAGCAACTGTTTAAACCTGTTTTCCTCCTGCTCTGAATCCAAAAACTAGGGCGTGAGCTGTTCACACTCCCTTCTGGCCTCTTAGCAGCCAAGAGGCAGCACCAGGAGAGACTTAGCTGAGGAAGGGTCTGAACCCTTTCATCTCGGTTCTTAATACCCTTCCTTTTCTGGATTCTTCTTTGGTCCTTCCTCTTCTACATTCTCTCTCCATCAGGAAAGTGAAACAACTGGCCAGCTTACTTCCAGGTGGAGGACAAGGAAGGCTTGGGAGGAGTAAAAGGTGGATGGCCCAGGATGGCTGTCTCCTCTGAGGCCCTGGGCATCAGTCCTGCAGTGTCAGGAAGGGGGAGGAATTGCTGGTCATACCTTGGCTATCTTGAGACACCCTTCCCACCCAACCTATTGGGAGAGTGTCCCACCATGACCCCCCACTCCCTAGGAGATGGTTGGTAGGAGGAGAAGGAAACTGGTCTGTCCCTTCTGTTCACTGGCAGGCAGAACCCTCCCTTAGCTTTCATCTCTCCTGCTCCCCCACCCCCTCAGCACATTCCTGCCTGACAGCTCTGGCTTGTACCTGCCTCACTGCTGTCCACCTTGTTTCAATCAAGTAGGGGGCAGGGAAGTGGACTGCTTGGCTGCACTTGTGAGGGGCTGGGTGTTGGGAGGGATGGGAGGAAGGGGGCTGGAGCCACTGCTTAATGCTCCTGCTGAACCCTTCCCTCTGCCTTTGCTACCTGAGTCTGGCACTCTTCTAGGCCAGTAACCCCATCATCACCCCACACCTCCCTCAACAGAGACCTGTGCTGTCAACAACGGAGGCTGCGACAGTAAGTGCCATGATGCAGCAACTGGTGTCCACTGCAGCTGCCCTGTGGGCTTCATGCTGCAACCAGACAGAAAGACCTGCAAAGGTAAGGCCTTGGAACATGGTACTCTCTGCCAAGGGGATGAGGTGGGGACCAGGAGTGGGGTAGCTCTTACATAACTACACCTTCTCAACTCCCTTCTTCTAGAGAACCCAGGACAAAGTCGGGGTTCTCCTGCTCACCTCTCCCACCTCAGTTCAGGGGCACAGACGTCTAGCTAGCACTTTGGTGCCCTCTGGTCCTAGCTTCTCTTGTCCCCCTCCTTTCATCCCAGTCCCTGTGTGGAGGGGAAGGGTCTCAACCCTTGAAGTTAATGAATGTACTCCAGTCCCTAAGCTGGACGGCTATCTGAGCCCTGACTTTGTGTGTGCCTGACTGAGGTCACAAGTGTGTTCTGCAACTTTTTCAACCTGCATTCCTCAGATCATCCCAGTGGGCTCAGGAAGTCTCTCCCCTTAAAAGGGTCATACCCATCAGGGACAGTAAGACAGCAGTTAGAAGCACAATGCCAGAAGTCTGGCTGCCAGATTCGGACCCCGGCTCTGCCTCCTTAATGCTGTGTCCTGGGCCAGTTATTTCGTGGTGCTGTGACTCAGCTTACAGTGCCTGGCTCACAGTGGGGCTGTCATATTTATTTTTTATTTTATGTGTATGAATGTATTGCTTGCATGCATATAAGTGCACCCGTGTCATGCAGTGCTCACCGAGGTCAGAAGAGGACATCAGGTTCCCCTGAAACTAGAGTTATGGACAGTTGTTAGCTGCCACGTGGGTGCTGGGAATTGAACCTAGGCCCTCTGCAAGAGCAGCCAGTGCTCTTAACCACTGGGCCATCTCTCTAGCCCCAAATGTTATATATTTGAATTGAAACCTTTTGGGCCTTTTGGGTTAGCTGTCATGACACACATTCCCACAGAGGCCATCCTGCTTCCCCTTTGCTTAGTTACCCGAATCTGGGGGAGAAAAGGGGAAGGTACCCATGTTGAAAATGATTCCTCAGGTCTGTGTCCCCTGGTCACAAGGAGTAGGGATTGGAAGTAGTGGTGGGCTGGTTCTTTGTGTCTTTTGGCCCCACAGCTGCAGGAGGGGGAGGGCTGGGGCAACAGGTCAGCCAGCCAGAGTTGAAAGGGTTCCTGCTGGAAAGGACTGTTGACAGGTAGGCTGAGTGAAGTGGAAGGCTGCCCTCTGAGTCCCTCCCCTCCAGAAGTGGTGAGTAGCCTGGGTCCTGTCTGCCACCAGTTTGGGGAACTTGACCTCAGGAAGGAAGCTGCTTACCCCCCACCCCTTTCTCTCTAGTGCTGAAAACTGCCTGGGTCTGAGTCTGTCCAGATTGCTCCAGTCCAGCCCCCCTGCCTGGCCTCTACTCTCCCCGTCAGCTGCCCAGCCTTCTGGGTCCTCCTGGAAGTCCTCCTTGTCCAGCCTCTTCCCCAGCTCCTCCTCTCTGAAGGCTGCCCCTTTCTAGCATCCCTTCAGGCTCTCCACATAACCACAGCCCCCAGTTCAGCACTCCTGACAAGAGCAGGGGTCAGGAAAAGCTAGCCCTGCCCACCACACCCTGGACTCAGTCCAGAAGAGGAGGTGTTACTAATGCCAGGTCCCTTGAACAGGGAAGACAGGAAGACAGGAGGGTGACAGCCAAATTGAGAGGGACAGGCCTAGGGCCCTCCTTGACTTTCCTGGTCTCAGTGAGGAAGGGATCTCATCTCCTTGTTTGCTCCTGGCCTTAATACTGTCTTTTATTCTATTCTGCTTCCCTAGACATAGATGAGTGTCGCTTGAACAATGGGGGCTGTGACCACATTTGCCGCAACACAGTGGGCAGCTTTGAATGCAGCTGCAAAAAGGGTTACAAGCTTCTCATCAATGAAAGGAGCTGCCAGGGTGAGTGGCCTGAGCCTGAGGTGAAAGGCTCCCGGGAGGGTTCTGAGGTAGGAGAGCTTCAGGGACTCCTGAGTCTAAGCAACCCAGTAGACACTGTAGCGCTTCTCTCTATGGGCAGGCTTATGGCACAGATAGGCAAGCAGTTCTCTTTCCTTTTGGTGGACCAGCTCCATGCCCAACATGGAGTGTGGTCTGCGTAGCCACACACACACCTAGGTCATGATCCACAGGTACCAGACCTTTTAGTACCTGACAAGGACTCCAAGTAAAGGGGTACAGAGAATGAGGCAGCACTGTTCGGTCAGATTTGGAACCAGGCCGGGGCCCCTTTTCAACTCCAAGGTCCTGTGCTTAGGGTCCTTGAGCATGGGTCAGACTCAGTGGCTCAAAGCCTTGCTTTTCCAGATATAGATGAGTGCTCCTTCGATAGAACCTGTGACCACATGTGTGTCAACACACCAGGAAGCTTCCAGTGCCTCTGCCATCGCGGCTACCTGCTGTATGGTGTCACTCACTGTGGGGGTAAGCCAGGAAGTTTGCACCCTCATCTTCCCAGCCACCCTGGCCCCCTCACCTCTTCACTGTCCAAATATCTGAGCCCTGTGCTGGCTTGTGGCCGTGGTTAAGCCCTGGATGTGATGTGCCACATCTGCATCCAATGGGATGAAATGGGAGAGAATAAGGCACCTTCCAAAGGCCAACAAGGAGACAGGGCATCAGAGACAGCATCCTGCCAACAAAACTTTTGTTTGAGACAGGGTCTCATGTAGCCCAGGCTAGCCTTGAATTCACTATGTAGCCAAAGATGACCTTGAACTCCTGACCCTAACACCTTTACTTTCCAAGTGTTGGGTTCACAGGCATGTGCTACCATGCCCAGCTTCTGCCTCCCAAATCTCTCTCTCTCATCCCTCTCTCTCTCCCCAGACACCCATCCTCAGTCTCCAGCCTAATGAGTGGGTAAGAGTAGGTTTTTAAAAAGCTGGTTGGCTTGACCCCTTTCTCCTGGCTTCTTTGACTGGGGATAGAGATAAGGCAGGGAAGTTTGAGCTCTTTTTAGGCCAGAGAATCCTTTCAGTTTTTTGTTAGGAATATTTAACATCAGAGCTGCCTGTTTAATAAATGTTTAAGTGTACAGCAGATCTCTGGAAGGCACTCACTCCCCTTGTGTAACTCAGCATGCCTGGCCTCTTACCAAAGGCCCTCCCTCACTGCCCCACTCCCTGCCTCCTGCTCCTCCACCACCGTCGCCAGTCTGTCTTCTACTCCTCCTGTAGATGTGGATGAATGCAGCATCAACCGGGGAGGCTGCCGCTTTGGTTGCATCAACACTCCTGGCAGCTACCAGTGTACCTGCCCAACAGGCCAGGGCCGCCTTCATTGGAACGGAAAGGATTGCACAGGTGCGCAGTGCCCTCTGCTGGCCAGACCTGGCAATGCTGTTTCACAGGAGGGTTAGGATCCTCAAGAGTAGTTATGCTGGGCGTGGTGGCATATGCCTTTAATCCCAGCACTCGGGAGGCAGAGGCAGGCGGATCTCTGAGTTCAAGGCCAGCCTGGTCTACATAGTGAGTTCCAGGCCAGCTGGGGCTACAGGGAGACCCTGTCTCAAAAAGGGAAAAAAAAAAAAAAAAAGAAGTACATTGTACCAGGATGTGACTGTGTTAAGGGGAAAGGGGCGGAGAGTGTAGCTGGCTGTGAGACCAGATGTTCTGGTAAACACTGTCCTCAACAGTCTCCATGGGTACAACAGTAGTTGATTCCTCCTCCGTATTAACCATCTGAGGGAGAAGAGTGGGAAGGAATGATCCGTACGCATCCTCAGGCCTTGCTCCCCCTTCCTAGAGCCAGTGAAATGTCAGGCCAGTCCTGGGACCTCAAAAGCCATGCTCAGCTGCAATCGGTCTGGCAAGAAGGATACCTGTGCCCTGACCTGCCCCTCTCGGGCCCGGTTTTTACCAGGTATGTAGGAGGGCAGCACTGGACGGCTTGGGAGAGAAGAGAAGAAAGGTGGGCTGTTCAGCAGCTCCTCTGCTCCCTGGGATTCCTCCAATCACTGGGGGTTTGAGAGGCAGGTCAGAGTGGTGATAGGCCCCTTCTTTCAGAGTCCGAGAATGGTTTCACAGTAAGCTGTGGTACCCCCAGCCCTAAAGTTGCTGCAGCCCGAGTTGGCCACCCCGGGAACAGCACCACCTCCAACCACTGCCATGGTGAGCACTGGCCTAGAAGCCCTCCTCTCTTCCCTGAACCTCACAGTTCTCTCATACATCTGCCTGGCCTGACTTTCCTGGACCTCATATATTATGCTGAAATTCTCCAGCCTTGCTATCTAGCTCCTTTGGGCCCCTAAAACCCAATACCTGTGGCTTCCCTAACCCTGCTCTCCAGCCAAGCTTTGCTGCCTAGCTTTGAACCACCCTCCACAGCAACCCCACCCGGGGCCTCACGCTGTGCTGAGTTTCTCCCATCCCTCTAGAGGCTGCAGTGCTATCAGTTAAGCAGCGGGCCTCCTTCAAGATCAAGGACGCCAAATGTCGTTTGCACCTGAGGAACAAAGGCAAAGTAGAGGAGACCAGCAGGATCTCGGGGCCAGGTCTGGACTGGGGACCTCATTAGAAAGGGTTCCACCAACCCCCACCCCACCCCTCAGTTCCTCTGCTTAGTGATTCCTTCTAGAGACTCACCCATACCCTGAACTCTGAGCAGAAAAGGGGTGCACAGTTGTAGGCATACAGCCCAAGAAGTTCTACATCATTCCCTTCCATCAAATAACCTAGACTAACAAGGAGAGGGTTAAGGCAGAGATCCACTTTGGGGTGGGTGGAGAAATGAGAGTTTGGAGAGAGAACTCGTGCTCTCTGCAGTAGGAGCCCCTGAGCTTGATACTGAAAAGGCCTCTCTACTAGGTGGTGCCCCCTGCTCGGACTGCCAGGTCACCTTCATCCATCTCAAGTGTGACTCCTCTCGGAAGGGCAAGGGCCGGCGGGCCCGGACCCCTCCAGGCAAGGAGGTTACCCGGCTCACCCTTGAACTAGAGGCTGAGGTCAGAGCTGAAGAAACGACAGGTGGGCCAAAGGAGAGGGCACATAGCCTGCATCCAGAAGCAATGGGCCCAAGGGAAGGGAGGGAGCCCATGCCAGGGGTCCCTGTGTAACAGCAAGCCCAAGGGCTGCCCCTCTTACCATGCCCCTCCCCACTGACTCCTGCCACTGCCTCTCTGCCTTCCTGCTCAGACCACTCTCTCTTCTCTCTCTTTTCTGACTCATGCAACTATCCATCATCAGCTGGCTGTGGGCTGCCCTGCCTCCGACAGCGAATGGAACGGCGATTGAAAGGGTCCCTGAAGATGCTCAGAAAGTCCATCAACCAAGACCGGTTTCTGCTACGCCTGGCAGGCCTTGATTATGAGCTAGCCCACAAGCCAGGCCTAGTAGCTGGGGATCGAGCAGAGCTAGTGGAGGTCTGCAGGCCTGGGCAGCACCAAGCAGGTGCCAAGTGTGGTAAGGGAGCTTGCTGGGAAGCAAGGGAGTGGGAAGTAGGGAAGGCTCAGCTTGGCCCTGACTCAGAGCAGGACCCTTTGCCTCAGGTGTAGTTCTTGACCTGTGAGGCAGCTAGGACCCTCCTGCTCACTGTTTTCCTTTCCCTGGTCCCAGGCAGGGCCAGCAGCCTTTCTGCACACAGACTTGACCCCCCCATCTCTCTAAGTAGGATTTTGTTAGTTCCTTGACAGAGATTCTCCCCAAGTCTTGAAGAGTAGGAAGGGGAGTCTTAGGCCTGGGTGGTGGGAGATGGGGGGGTGGCTAGCACGGCCGACTCTCCCTCAGTCAGCTGCCCGCAGGGAACGTATTACCACGGCCAGACGGAGCAGTGTGTGCCATGCCCAGCGGGCACCTTCCAGGAGAGGGAAGGGCAGCTCTCCTGCGACCTTTGCCCTGGGAGTGATGCCCACGGGCCTCTTGGAGCCACCAACGTCACCACGTGTGCAGGTGCCAGGGGAACAAAGAAAGACTGGGCTAGGGTGGGCACTGGGACACCCATGGGCATGGGATTTCCCAAAGGGCAGGTCCAGGCTCCAGGTCACTGTCCTAGCTGATGTCCTGTATGTATGCCTCTGTTCCCTAGAACCGGGCGATCCTATGGGGTGACTCAGGACCAACCCCATCAGAGTTGGGCCCTTGATTCATTGCAGGTCAGTGCCCACCTGGTCAGCACTCAGTAGATGGTTTCAAGCCCTGTCAGCCATGCCCACGTGGCACCTACCAACCTGAAGCAGGTCGGACCCTGTGTTTCCCCTGTGGCGGGAGCCTCACCACCAAGCATGAGGGGGCAGTCTCCTTCCAGGACTGTGACACCAAAGGTCAGTGCTTTGCTCACTTCACTAGGGCCTCCCTGACCCCAACTACTCTCAAAAATTCTGAGTCCCCAGCATAGACCTGAGTAGGCTATCCTACCATCGTTCCCCAACCAGCCTAACCAAGCACACCATCCTGCTCCCAGAAGCCATCCTAGCTATCCCTTAGGCCAAACCTGAGGGTACAAATGAACATTCCCACTGTCCCCTCTGCTCTGGAGAACTGGTGGCATAGTCCCCTCCATACCCCAAGTGAGTGCCTGTGTAAGTCTTGACTCTGCTCAGAGTCTGAAGAAAGAGGACCAATGCTGTTAGCCACCCGCTCTGGAAAGTCTGTTTTCCCTGGCCTTAAATTCTGGCACCACTAGGGACGGTAGGGACCCTAGAAGAAACTTAAGCATCTTTGATCTCCAGTTCTCCATGATGAATGTGTCCTGCCCAGCCATGGCCCAGATACCTACCTTTCTGCGATCTTAACTCCTGCACTCCCTCTTACCTGCAGTTCAGTGCTCCCCAGGGCACTACTACAACACCAGCATCCATCGCTGTATCCGCTGTCCCATGGGCTCCTATCAGCCAGACTTCCGTCAGAACTTCTGCACCCGCTGTCCTGGAAATACAAGCACTGACTTTGACGGTTCTACCAGTGTGGCCCAGTGCAAGAGTACGTGGCAGGCCATGCTGTGGGAAGTGGAGCGAGGTCTGGGAGCAATGAGCATAGAAAACGGGATGGGGTTGTAAACCAGCAAGAAAGCAGCTGGTGGGTGGGTGGTCCCGTCTCCACACAGTCCCAACACCTTCATTGTAGGCCAAGCCTCCCTGGAGACAGGCAATGGGCAGGCAGAGATGGGTGCCATGAGAAGGTGCTTAGAGGGCAGGAAAGAAGAGGGAGCCAGAGTTTGAGCAGTAGATGAACTAAGACGTGTCTGTTCTCTGCTTTATAACTCTTCAATTTACTCAATCTGGTTCCCCACTGACTTTCCTTCTCTCTCCTGCTTATCCACTGGGGCGTGGCTGCAGATCGGCAGTGTGGAGGGGAGCTAGGTGAGTTCACTGGCTACATCGAGTCCCCCAACTACCCGGGCAACTACCCAGCTGGCGTGGAGTGCATCTGGAACATCAACCCCCCACCCAAGCGCAAGATCCTTATCGTGGTACCCGAGATCTTCCTGCCATCTGAGGACGAGTGTGGGGACGTCCTCGTCATGAGAAAGAACTGTGGGTGGCTGCAGAGCTGGGCCAGGGAAGGGCAGTTGGAATCTGGTTGGGAGAGAGTGTTTGGTCTGGAGAGAGCTGGGGCAGTGACATCAGGAACCCATGAGCAAATGGTGAGGGAAGCCTTGGGGACAGAAGCTAAGGAGAGCGGTGCAGGTTCGGTGGAGAGCAGCGTGAAGACAGCCAGCACTGGGGCTGAACTGCTGCTAAATGCGCCACTCTAATCCTGGCCTTGTTGCCGTGCCAGTCCTGTAAATGCCAATCTTCATACATGATGTGAGTGTGTGCATGTCAGGGTTATGGAATGAACCCAGGGGACGATAAGGGAGGTGTGTGGGTGTGTGTTTGGGGAAGGAACCTCTATCAGAGTGAGCTGGCCCCCGCTCCACAGCCCTCGATCCTGCAGGGCTTAGGTAGCCCGCCTCACCCCTCTCCTGACCTGCCGTATACCTTGCCAGCATCCCCATCCTCCATTACCACTTATGAGACCTGCCAGACCTACGAGCGCCCCATTGCCTTCACGGCTCGTTCCAGGAAGCTCTGGATCAACTTCAAGACGAGCGAGGCCAACAGCGCGCGTGGCTTTCAGATTCCCTATGTGACCTATGATGGTGAGCAAGGGCAGAAGTAGAGAGGGGGGTTGGTCTTGTGAGGGAACCAGGGGAGCAAGAGGAGCTCCTGCCCTCAGGCCGCCCAACTTTGGTTGACTTTGCAGAAGATTATGAACAGCTGGTAGAAGACATTGTGCGGGATGGCCGGCTCTATGCCTCTGAAAACCACCAGGAAATCTTAAAGGCAAGTCGATATTAACAACCGTGACAGCCAACATAAATGGGCATGTGCTGATGTGGAGGTAAAATGCTGAGTGCCAGCAGGAATATTCAATTCCGTGTACACAATGACTCCGTGAGGCAGGTGCTTTCATCACTCCCACTTTATAGATGAGAAAGCGAGGTACAGAGTGAAAGAATTTTCCCGATGGTGGGCCTGAACTTTGAACCCAAGTTATCCGACCAGAGTGTCACCCACCTTGGAAGAAAGGCAGGGAGAAAGGGAAGGTAAGAAGAAATGGCCTCTGCCTTTCCTAGCAAGATGCAGGAGAAATAAAATGGAGAAAGACTTTTTTTTTTAATTTTAGTTTTTTGGAGACAGGGTCTCATGTAAATTTGCTGTGTAGTTGAGGCTGGCCTCGCATCCCTGATTCTTCTGCCTCCACCTCCCCCAAGCACTAGGATGACAAAAGAGCTCTTCCTTTCCTCTCCCTAGCCTCACCGAGAAGCAGCAGATTAGCACAGCTTTCTCAGGATCAATTCAACGGGGGAGACATTTTCTTTTTTCTTCCTTTCTTAGACTATTTACTTTGTTTTTTGCAAGGTATGGGGGGTTCAAGCCCAGGACCTTGCACATTAGGCACCCCTGAACCACATCCCCAGCCCCTAGATGTGTCTTTATTTATGTATGTATCTATGGTGGGGAGGGGACATGCATGTGGGTGTGTGGTACATGCGCCTGTGCACATGCCCCCATAGGCCAGAAGAGGACATCAATGTCTTCCTCTATCACTTTCCACTGTATTTCCCTGAGACAGGGGCTCTCAGTGAACCAGAAGCTCACTGTTCATGCTAGGTTGGCTAACCAGGGAGCAGTCTGATCTGCCTGGTCTCTGCCCAGTACTGGAGTTACAGACACAGCTGTGCCTGGCTTTTGACATGGGGATTGGGACTCAGCAAGTGCTCTTACCCACTGAGCCATCTTCCCAACCCCTATCTATTTCTTTTCACTTTTTTAAGACAAGGGTTCATGTAGCCCAGGCTGACCTCAAACTTGCTATGTAGCTGAGAAACCTGAATTCCTGATCCTCTCGCTGTCACCTCCCAAGTGCTTGGATTACAGGCATGTGCCACCATTCCTGACCCTAGATGTCTTTTAAAAGAAATATTTCCATTGGACATGGTGGCACACACCTTTAGTTCCAGCACTTGGAAGGCAGAGGCAGGCAGATCTCTGTGAGTTCAAGGCCAGCCTGGTCTACATAGTGAGTTTCAGGACAGCTGGGGCTACAAAGAGACCCTGTCTCAAAAAACCAAAATAAACAAACAAATATTTCCAGCATTGGGGAATGAATACCCTGAGTCTGTGGATCCCAATTTGAAAAAACCCTACTTAAGAAACTATGGACTTGGAGCTGGAGAGATGGTTCAGTGGTTAGGAGCACTGATTGCTCTTGCAGTGGACCCGAGTTCAGTCCTAGCACCCACATGGCAGCTAACAACCATGTCTGTAACTCCAGTTCCAGGGATCCAACATCCTCTTCTGACCTCCACAGGCATTGCACGACACGGGTGCACTTACCTACACGCAGGCAATACACACATACACATAAAATAAAAATAATAAATAAAAATTTAAAAAAAAAAGAAACTATGGTCTTGGGCTAGAGAGATGGCTCATCGGTTAAGAGCACTGGCTGTTCTTGCAAAAGAACACCACCACCCCACAGCATCCAGCATCCCAGCACCCACATGGTAGCTAACAACTGTCCGTAACTACAGTTCCAGGGGATCCAATGCCCTCTTCTGTCCTCCTTGGACACTGCATGACATGGAGCACTTACACACACCTGCAGGCGTAATGCTCATATGCATAAAACAAAAATAAATAAAAAAGAAACTATGGTCTTAATTGTAAAATTATCCTTCATAAATTATCACTGCAAAAAAAAATGTCTTGGGGCTGGAGAGATGGTTCAGCAGTTAAGAGCACTAGCTGTTCTTGCAGAGGACCCAGGTTTGATTCCCAGCATTCACAAGGTGGCTGAGACTCATCTATAACTCCAGTCTCTGGGAATCTAATGCTCTCTTCTTGTCTCCATGGGCATTGCATACATGTGGTACACTGATATACATGTATGCAAAACACTCATACACATAAAATAAAAAACAAATACATTGGGCGTAGTGGCACACACCTTTAATCCCAACATTCAGGAAGCAGAGGCAGACAGTTCTCTATGAAATCCAGACCAGCCTGGTCTACATAGCAAGTTTCAGGCCAGATGGGGCTACAGAGAGACATTATCTCAAAATAAATAAATAAAAATAATTTTTTCTAAAGTTGTCTTTATTAGTAGTAATATGTTATCCTCTAAATAAAACCAGCAGTTAAAAAAAAAAAAGAAAAAACTTCCAGAACTTAGAAGCATCAAAGAATTTAATTTGGGGCTAGGGAGATGGCTCAGCAGTTAAGAGCACTGGCTTCTTCCAGAGGACCCAGGTTTGGTTCCCAGTACCCACATCCCAGCACTCCAGTCCCAGGGGATATGTCATCCCTTTTCTGGTCTCCATGGTCACTGCATGACATGGGTACACTTACATATATTCAGGCAAAAGACTCACACATAAAATAAAAATAACTTAAACTTGTTTTAATTTCAGTAATACTTTCCAACATTTTTCTAGAGCATCTGAGCCATCATTTCACATTAAATGGAGGAGGGTATGGTCGCACACACTTACAGTCCCACCTGTTCAGGAGCTGAAGCAGGGTCATATGAGCGCAGGAACCGGAAAGCAGCCTTGGCAACATAGCTGACCCATCTCAGATAGCTGAGCAACAGAAATTCACATAGTGCAGCTATTTGATTAAAGTTGGGTTGAGAGGCTGGAAGCAGCCAGGAGATACTTTGCTCTTTGTATATGCATGTGAATGGGTGAGGAGATATAAGTCAACATTCAGGAGTCCGTTCTCACCTTCCACCATGTGGGTTCCAGGGTTGTCAGGCTTGGTAGCAAGTGTCTTTTTTATGCAATGAGCCATCTCAGCTGCCCCGAGATGAGTCTCAATGCACAACAGCTGGCACAGCACTGCTGCTGCCACAGAGGTCAAGAGAGGCCTGTGGGGCAAAGATCTGAAAGGAGACAGAGGATGTTAGGAGCATGGGAGGGGCATGGTGTGTGCTTAGGAGCCTCAAGAAACCACTGTTGTTCCATGTGGAGAGGAAGAGTAGGGGCAACGCAGGACACAGAAGGCAAGCAGTCCGTGTGTCCTGTGAAGAACTGCAATGTAATCAGTGGTACAGCAAATGTTTACCAAGCAGGAGACCGTGGGTTGAACTCCCAGCACTGCAATAATTGTTGTTTTATAATAACAATAAACTTTAATTAGATATAGTGGTACCTGCCTATAGACTTAGCTACTTGGGCAGCTCAAGTATGAGGATCATTTGAACCCACGAGTTCAACACTACCCCAAACAATATAGCAGAACCTCATCTCAAAAAAGAAAGAAAAAAGAACAGAAAGAAGTGTTCCAAACATGAACTAATTAAACATCCCGCTGTGGCTGCTTTGAGAACAATCAATGGATAGTCCCAGGTAGAGCTGGGGGTACAATTTGGTAATACAATACTTGCCTGGTATATGTGAGGGACTAGGTTCAATCTCCAGGGAGGCAGGCAGGCAGGCAGGCAGGGATGGTGGTGCACACCTTTAGTCCTGGTGCTCAGGAGGCAGAGTCAGGCAGATCTCTGAGAGTACAAGGCCAGCCTGGTCTACATAGTGAGTTCCAGGCCAGCCAGTGTTATGTAGCCTGTCTTAAAGAACAAAAAAAAAAAAATGAAAGAATTGGGGTGGGGGGGAGAAATAGGCAGGCACCATTATAACTAATAATAAAGAAAAGGAAATATGGAAACCAGTTAGTAGGCCATTGCAGTAGTCCAAGTGAGGATTGAGGGCTGAGGGTGATGGGTGTAGAGATGGCAAGAAGTGGTTAGACCCTGGGTATGTTTTGAAGGTAGAGTCAACAGGATTTGCTGTAGCCTTGAGAAAGTGGGGTCAATGATGGCTCCACAGATGGGGACCTGAGGAATCAGAAGGCTGGAGCTGCTGTTAACTGAGCTGTGGACTTCTAGAGGAGCAGACAGCAGGAACAGGAGTCCAGAGACAACCTCGATATGTTCAGTGAGATTCTATTAGACACGGAGGGACTGCCGAGTTAGGGCTGTTCCTCTTTCCCACATAACACTGAGGCTGATCTTGCCATCTTCTACAGGACAAGAAGCTCATCAAGGCCTTCTTTGAGGTGCTGGCCCACCCCCAAAACTACTTCAAGTACACAGAGAAACACAAGGAGATGCTGCCAAAATCCTTCATCAAGCTGCTTCGCTCCAAAGTGTCCAGCTTCTTGAGGCCCTACAAATAGTGCCTATAGGCCCAAAGACCCAGGTTTTGGAGCTCCCAGACTCCTAATCCCTCAGAGCCAGCATCCCCCAACCTCAGACAAGAAATTCTCTCTTTTTGGAGGAAAAATATCATTACACAGACCAGGCACTCTCCCTTCTGTCTTCCTAGTTTTCCTTCTCTCTCTCTCTCCCCCCCGACCCCCACTTCTTACATGTTCCCTGGAGAAGCCACTCCATGCTGTCTCTGCTCCCCTGAGAGGTGAAGGAACAGTACTGTCTCCTCCTCTGCCCATTTCACTAGCACATGGCCCTGGTCCCATCATGGAAGGGTGTTTGTGATAGAAATGGACCTGCTAGGGAATGGGGATGGGAAAGTGGGGTTTCTGCTACTACAGGGTTGTACGTTACTGGTCAGGAGCCAAAATGTGCTCCTGCTGCATGCTCCCCTAGGTGACTCATAACAGCCTTGGGTCCTGCCAAAGAAGGCTTTGACTTAACAGGCTTTACACCAACACCAGGCACTGGGGTACACGGTTTGAGCCCTGGGGGACCCACACACCTGGTTTTCTCATCTATACAGCTCCTCTTTCTTCCCCTAGATGTCTGCCTGGGGTTGACTCCATAGAGTTTACAAACAGCCCATACCACTGGGCTGGCAACCACTGGCTGAATCAGGAAAAGCAGCAGACATTACCATCAGTGGGCCACTGTGGCTCACAAGAGAAGATCTCAATAGCTTTGCAGAACAGAAAGCAGGTTTTTAAAGCACTGCCTCAAACAGAAACAGAAAGAAAATGTATCATCTAAAGGACTTGACTTCGGAGCAAATGGGAGCCAGCCTCAAACACTAACCCCTTCTCTTAGGTGTCCTTCCGGGCCCAGCCATGCCCTCAGCCCCACCTAAGTGCTCCCTGGGGGAGCGCTACTCCCCTTGCTAAGTGTTGTCCTTAAAGAAGCCAGCTGTTGATCCTAGCAGCCTGGACTTCGCCCCACAGTTGTTTTTTCCCTTGTAGCCCCAGGTGGCTTGTGGGCTCCCCCCAAGGGGACCCTATTCTGCAGCCAGCCTGGAGCTGCCTACCTCTGGCCTCGGGCTGTGGGCAGCAAGAGGAATGTGTGTGCACTTGGCAAGCCTCCTGCCCACCCTGTCCATATCTAATAAGTGCAATCATTTGAGTTTTTCTGTGTTGTCTAGAAGGAGGGGATTTGTTTTTTTGTTTGTTTCTTTTTCCTCTTAGAATAACCCTATTTATAGCTGCCCGAGAGAGAAGAGTTTGTTAGGAGTGGAAGAATATCAGTTTGACTCTCGAGAGCATGAGTACTGGAGCATCTCATCTGTCTCTATTCCACCTGTGGCCACCCAGACCTCAGCTGGGCTAAGTCAGGGCAGTCCCTCAGAGACATCTGATGTGCAGGACAGTATTCTGGGCACCTGATGAAGCAGGAAGGAGAGGGACTATTGGCCAGACCAGTCCTGCTACTATCCGCATGCCTCTCTGGATTCAACATAGATTTCATGATTGCAGATGCTGACAGAATTGGTCAATAATCCGCAGTAGGGAACAGCGCCACGTTTTTGCTGCCTACGTGTCTTCCCCTGGGATGCTCAGAGAAGAAGATCAGGACAAACCCCTGGTGGACTCGGGCTTCCAAAGCCAGATAAGGCTGTAGGAGCCTAGAATAGGACAGTTATCCATATGTGAAGGAAGGAGAACCAGACATGGGCCTGACACTGGTCACCTGCCTCTTACAGTTAACTTCAAATCTGTCTTAACTACTGTTTTTCAGAAGGAAGAATCACGTTTGTGCCTATACCCAGGCCCTGCATATACTCCACCCTTAATATAACTGCTGCCTGTAAAGTCTCTTTAATTTACTCCTACTCCCCCAAGGTTGTAAATAGTCAATGGCCACCAGCTGACTCCTCAGCTCCAGTTCTCGGTGACTGTCCCAAGCTCCTGCTCCCCCCAAGAGACTCAGGCCACCAGCCAAAACAAGTCCTAGCTGTGGACAGAGCAGCAAACAAAGCTAGGTCTCTTGACATCTGTTAGGTGACACCATGGTCCTCCAAGTAGAGGTCTGCTGCCTCTGTCTCTGGGTCAGAGAGCTACTGTGAAGTCCTTAAATGGCTTCACCCAAGAAGGGGAAATGGTCATTTAGTAGGAGTGTCTGCACTTCCGAGGAATGCCATGAAGCCACTTAAATCAACTTTGGTCATCTAACAAGAGGCAAGGATGACTTTCTGAGTCTTCTCTCCCTGTCATTTTGCCTCTCTCTTGGAAAGCCACACAGGGCGCGTGCATCCCAACGTATGCCATTAGGGTGTCGCTTCTCCTTGCTCCCTTCCTTTCCTGTTGCCATATGCATACACTTCCTCTGATCATGTACTCCAAGGTTGATGGGACCTGCAAGTGAGTTCCATGGTACAGAGAGGGCAGACCACTAGGCTTCTTAACTGATAAGACAGATGAAGGTGAGCAGGTGAGAGTTTGTTACTATCCACCAAGTTGGCCACTAGGAATCCAGGCAAACTGCTGCTGAGCTGTAGGAAACTGGCCCTGAGGTATAGAACCATGGAGGTTAAGTGGACTGAATGAGTTTACACTCAGGGACTCTCTAGGGCTGCAAAGGTCAAATAAAAGAGGTTTCAGGGGTAAATGGGGGAGGGGGAGGGGAAGACGGTGTAAATAGGAATCCTTCATGAGCTGAACCAAAAGCTTCCCTGTGGGATAGGGTGCTTGTGGGGTCACAGAACTGCGTGTGGGTCCTTATTCATCTTAGTACAAAACCTGTCCTGATCTGAGTTTGGGCATAGGAAGCCATTTCCACAACGGTTCCAAGCATCAAGTGACACACGTCAAGAAGGTACTTAGACCTTCAGCAGCGCTGTGACTCCTCTTTATCCCTTCTGCCTCTTTTTTTCTTGTCAGGTCAGCCCATCCCTAAACCTGAGGGAGTTCTCAGGAGAAAAATGACCAGAGCCTAGACGAGCTGTCTACCCTAAGCCTCTAGCAGTCACCAAAGGCATGCCATTGAGCTGTACTTCTCAGACTTGCCCTAGGATGTGGTCAGTTGGAGGCAGAGAAGACTCAGAGCTGTTGCTGAAAGTTCAGTAGTACAGTCCTGGTCTTTGGCCCTAATGAATCTTTGCGTGTCTGTAAGGTGTTTTCCGTGTTCAAAGAGATGACTATGGGATGGATGAGGAGGTCAAATCTTTTTGTCAGAAAAGGTTCTAGAGCATTGGAGCATTTATATTGGCTGCTGAACTTCAATATGACAGCCTCAAGCTCCCCTTCTAGGGGGACAGAAACAAAGTATAATTGACCATAAGCAGAAAATGTTAACCTGCCTGGCTTCTTTCTTTAGAAGCAGACAGCATCAAGGATACCTTTACATCTGGCCCTTGGGCCATTGTCTGGGCTGGGAATTAGAGGGACTGGAAGCCCCAGTTCTGTTATCAGTTTGCCTAGACAAAACACATTGTACAGTGTGGACAAGCTGAAAACTTTTCTGGTGAGTTGAAATTTCAGAAAATAATTATCACCATGTTGGGAGGCTTTTTTTAATGCAGAAAAAAATCTCAAAATATTGTATTTGTACCTGTCATCAGAGCAAACATCTACACAATCAACAGTAACAGATGATGCAGTTCATAAAGTATTTTGCACTTGGGGAAAAATATGTAACTGAACTTGTAAAAAGAAATGTTTGGATTTTGTATTGTCTTTTTATTCTATTATTAAAATGCTTAATGAAACTCCTCAGTCTGGCACACATCTTTTCCTTGATCTCAGTAGCTTGTCCTACAGCGGGGAAAAGCCTCCAACAGACAGTGTCTTCTGACTTCCAGACAACATTGACCTACCGTTGCTCACCTTGCCTTACTCTTAATGATTTTATAATTTGGAAATTCTCATCCCTGTCTATCTTTAAAAGCAAAACAGTATCAAGAATTATTCCTTACCAAGCTTAGTGGCACATGCCTTTAATCCCTGTACTCAAGATGCAGAGCAGGGGGATTTCTGTGAGTTCGGAGCCAGTCTGGTCTACACCGAGAGTTCTAGGCCAGCCAGGACTAAGTAGCAAGACCCTGTCTCAAAATAACAATAATAATTATACCAAGGAGTGGAGGAAGGAGGGCACTAGGGGATAGGCAAAAGAAGGGGGCAAGGGAAGGAACACCAGCAATGCATGAAAATGCCATCAAGAAACCCATTATGTTATATGCTAATTTAAGTACTTTAACTAACTAAATAAATAATAAAAAGAATCATCCTAAGGAGAATCTAGGGAGTGGAGAATGTTTAAAGCATTGTTCTGGGGCTGGGGCTGGAGAGATGGCTCAGTGATTAAGAGCACTGACATCTTGCAAGAGGCCCTGGGTTCAGTTCCCAGCACCCACATGGCAGATAACAACTGTCTGTAACTCCAGTTCCAGGGGATCCAATGCCATCTTTTGACTTCTGCAGACACTACACAACATGGGCGCGCTTACCAGGCAATACACTCATACACATAAAAAATAATAAAAATATTAAAAATCTTTAAGTTATTGTTCCTTCTAACCTCAGTATAGTCCATAGTGGCTGGCCAGGCCACAGGTAGCTTACACCCACCCAGACATGTCCCTAGTTAAGATCTCCCACCCCTAGCACTGAAGGTCATCTAGCTGAGGCCACCAAAATCCAGATCAATCAGCAACTACTGCCGTCACTGCCTGCAGGCCATGACAGAGCACTGCCAACAGCCTCTATTTGTGTACACAGTCATTTCAGAGTATGACTTGAGAAACAAGGGGGAAAAATCAACCTGATCAATTAATATGTTGGGTTGGTCCACCAGAACCTGAGATTTCGCTCTAGTGTCTATAATAAACATAGATGGGGCTGGAGAGATGGCTTAGCAGTTAAGAACACCGGCTGTTCTTGCAGAAGACCTGGGTTCAAATCCCAGCACCCACATGGCAGCTAACAACTCTCCATAACTCCAGTTCCAGGAGATCTGACAGTGTCTTCTGTCCTCCGCGGGCATTGCACAACACGGGTGCTCTTACCTACATGCAGGCAATACATGCATACACACAAAAATAATAAAGTAAAAAAAAATAGATGGATTCATTCTATGATCACTAAACTCTCACTGTATACTAAGCACTGAAATGTGGCTGTCATGGCTTGACAGCAGCCATGCTCAAAGTTCAGTCATCTAACTTTGTAATTATAACTGGCATCCCCATACTTATTTCACAACATGGAGAGAATCTAGCCCACCTGGCAGCTACTAGTATAAATTCACTGGCATAGTCTATATACACTAACTTCCTATGAATTTGATTTAGCCTGACAACATGAGCCCCTTTGTATGCATCAACAAAAATCACATTTCCAGAACTGCAGAACTGTGAACCATATTCAAGACCACTACATCATGCTATCTTGAGGAGTCATCCTCTTCAATGTCTCTTTTAACCTTTTACTTTTTATTTACTTACTATTTATAGCTCAGTGGCAAAGCACTATGCCTGGCATGTACAAGGCCTTAAATTCAATTCCCAGTATCAAAATAAAATAGAATTCCACTCCAAAATATCTTCCTTAACCAGTTCTCAAGACCTGAAATTTCAGGGCTGGAGAGATGGCTCCGCAGTTAAGACCACTAGCTGCTTTTGAAGAAGACCTGGGTTCAAATCCCAGCATCCCGATGGCAATTAAAAGCAATCCATAACTCCAGTTCTAGGGGATCCGATGCCCTCTTCTGTCCTCCGTGGGCACTGCATGACCTGGATGCACTGACATGCATGCAGGTATAATGCTCATACACATAAAATTAAAATAAATAAGCAATAAAAGGACCTTGGGAGGCAGAGGCAGGCAGATCTTTGTTGAGTTCGAGGACAGCCTGGTCTACATAGTGGGTTCCAGGACAGATGGGGCTACAGAGAGATCCTGTCTCAAAAAGACAAAAAAAAAAAAAAGATCTGAAATTTCTATAAGATTCATTGCTTCGGCTGAGGGGGGTGGCTTGTACCTTTAATCCCAGCATCTTGGAGGCAGAGGGAGGTGGAGGGGGGTGGGTCTGTGAGTTTGAGGCCAGCCAGGGCTACATATTGAGACCTTGTCAGAAAAAAAAAAAAATTCCTGAGTTCAGACAATGGGTTCTGGTTTCTATTATTTTGTTAAATGTGTAACAGGAGAGGTGACTAAGCAAACAGATAAAGATCTTCAAGGCAATGTGGCAAAGGAAGGATGTATTTTTTACTATGGAAAGAGGTGGCGGTGGAGTTGAGCAGAGAAACTCAGGTACATCCTGAATTCTAGAATTTTAGACTCACCAAGTAACTAAGGATGACTTTCAATTAAAATATATTTTTTTTCACATTTATTGTGGGGGTGGTGAGTACATGGCAGCCACTGTGTACATGTGGAGGTCAGAGGAAAACAAGTGGAAGTCAGTTCTCTCTTTCTACTCTGTGGGTTTCTGGGATCAAACTCAGGTTGTCAGGATTGGCAGCAACCCCCTTTACCTGATAAACCATCTTGCTAGCCCTGATTTTGAACTCTTGACACTCCTGCTTCCACCTCCCAAGTGCCAGGGACTCCGGGGACGCACTACCATGTCTGGCTTTCCACCTGTATTTCTAGCCACTAATTCATGCCGTAAAACTCTGGAAAGGTCCTGTGCCTGATGTGCTGAGGACTGTGGGTTGGTTCCCACTGGGGATGCATTGGGGCATCAGGTAGAAGTTTCAGTGCCACACTGAGACCCCAGGATTCACAGGCACGGTGTGCCACCACACCAGGACCTTCCCCTTTAATCATCCTCATTCCCTTTTCATTTTCTCTCATTTCTGAAAATACCCTACATTGCAACATCGTAGATCCTGCCTGGTTGGAGAGGAAATAAAAGAGCGTAAGGTTTGGGGGCCAGCCCGAGACAAACTGAGGCAGGAGGATGACAAGTTCAAGGCCAGCATGGGCTACTTGGTGAGTCTGAAACCAGGCTGAAGCAAGAATTAAGAAGAAAGGAGGAGCTTGGTTCTGTTCTTCCCTTTGTAAGCCTCTCAGGAGGAGCAGCTGGTTTGGGGGCTGAGAACCTGGGAGGACTGTAGTCCCTCAGGGTGCATCCTTTAGGGAGGGCTATCAGAGCACTGTGCCTCAGGGAGGACACTCAGTGGGTCATCTCTCAGAGCTCCGTTCATCAGGGTGCAAGTCCTGTCCCCAGGAGGACAGTCCCTGGGGAGGATGGTCCTGCAAGAATTGTGAGGGCAACATCCTTTAGGGAGGACAGTCCTGTAGGGAGGACCATCTCTCAGGGAGGACTGTCAGGGCCCTGATCCCCTCAAAGGGCTGCCCCTCAGGGCTTATCTTCCTTCAGGGAACACAGTCCTGTAAAAAGGACCATCTCTCAGGGGGATCATCCCCAGGAGAGCTCCATCCCACAGGGAGGACTGTCAAAGCCCCCCTTGGAAAGCCATCTTTCAGGGCTCACTGTCCTTCAGGAAGGAAAGTACCTGAGGGACAGATGTCAGGGCACTATCCCTCAGGATGCTGTCGTCCAGGGGCCGTCCAGCCTGGTGCTGTCCTTCAGGGTGCAGTCCTTCCGGGAGGACCATCCTCCAGGGAGAACTGTCCTGCAGGAAGGACAGTCCTGTAGGGAGGGAGGATTATCAGGGCACAGTTCCCTCAGGGGGCTGTCCCTCCTCAGAACACCATCCTCCAGGGTGCTGTCCATTAGGGTGTTGTCCCTCAGATTGGAGTCCCTTGGGGAGGATCATCCCTCGGGGAGGATCATCCTTCTGTAGGGAGGAGCGTCCTGCAGAGAGGACAGTCACACAAGGAGGATGTTCACATAGGGAGGACAGTGACATAGGGAGGATGGTCCCGCAGGGAGGACAGTCACGTAGAGAGGACTGTCCCGCAGGGGGGACAGTCATGTAGGGAGGATCATCCCATAGGGAGGACTATCCCATAGGAAAGACAGTCACGTAGGGAGGACCGTCCTGCAGGGAGAACTGTCCCATAAGGAGGATTCCCCGGCGCTATCCCTTGGGCTGTGTCGTCCATCGGGGTGCACCGTCCCTCAGGGTGCGCCGTCCCGCACCTTCCCAGGCTCCTCAGCACCGCCCTTTTCGGTACCTACCGGTGCTTTCGATGCTCCCCGCACTATGCTCCCAAGGGGAGGGCGCAGCGGGCCGCGCGTCTCGCCGCAGCCGCACGAGCAGCAGCCTCCGCCACCAGCCGAGGGAGGCGAGCCAGACGCATTGCCATGGCGACCGCGCCCCCGAGTGTCGCCGCGGTGACGTCACCCGCGCTCCCCGGGCGGC